TTGTTACCAAGAAAAATGGAGAGAAATCAAAGATTAATACCAGGACATTGCTGGAAAATATTGGACAACATAAAGAAATTATCGATGATTTGTTCCCACCATCCATGGCAACTCAAACTGTTGATCCAGTTATGTACCGTGATATGATCTGTCAGACTGAAAGTTATCAAACCACTTTTGGGTGCCAGACAGTTACACCAGAGAGCACAGATGCTATCACACAAGCTGCACCACAATTAATCAGTACATCAGTTCAAGCTGTACCAGAATGCGTGGAAGCTTTTGTTCAAGCTGAATCACAATTAACTAGTACTTCCGTTCAAGCTGTACCAGGATGCATGGAAGCCTTTGTCCAAACTGCACCACAATTAACTAGTACATCTGTCCAAGCTGTACCAGAATACACGGAAGCCTTTGCTCAAGTTGCACCAACTCTTATTGCCAACGCGACTCAATGTGAATCTGTGGTTAAATCATGTCATGTCCAAACAACACAAGATGTCCAAGATGTTTCTTCACAGGTTCCAGGTCCGTTTACCACCAACAATTTAAACATGACAAAGAGGTCAACATCACCAGAGAGTGGGGCTTGCTCCTTAGACACAAATATAAGAGGTCGAACAAAACGGGCCATCAATTCCGCAGCTGGAGAAGTGACATCATTTTCCAGCGGGATTTATTTTAAGAATGTGTTTAGGTCTTACTTACAGTTTGAAAATCATTCGGCTACATTTTCTGGAAGAGCTTCCGACATACCAAATAGGATGCAAAACAGCTGCCCAGTACCGATGATGAGTATCGCTTTTGCACACAAAATACGTAAAGCAAGGTTAGATTTTGTACTTGGTGTTGAACCTACAGCTCAACTAATTAGTTCAGCTACTTTACTAGATCCAGCATATTTTGTCAAGAAGACAGAGGCAGAAAGTCGTCAGCAAGACGAAGATGCTATCGTAGAGGACAATCTTTTGAACGGTAGTTTGATAGAAAACTTTGACATCGCCAGTCTGGTATATATTGACAGCTTTGGGAACTTCAGCATGAAACAAGATGTCATGATGGACATGTTCGGATACGACCCAAGACATTCACCCTTCTTACCATCTGGATATGAAGCTTCAAATGATCTACCTGAAGACTTGGGTTCTGTTTTTGTGCCCTCCATCCGATCAAAGGACATCGTGTTTTCCAAGAACGAAGATGAGTCGTTTAAAGAGATTGGGAGAGGTAGTTATGGTGTGGTTTATCTAGGACGCTTGCTAAAAACATCAAAGCAGATTGTTGTAAAAGATTTCTTCAACGAAAGCGTCTGCTGGGAATTTGTTGAACATGAAGCTCGGATCGTAACCCTGTTACAAGGAAAGGGAGTAACACCAACCTTTCATGGGATCATGACATCAACCATCGACGAGAATGACTTTTCGCTGGTGCAGGAGTTTTTCGGATCGGGAAGCATCGAGACCATCTTGAAAAGCCATGGTGATCTGTCAGCTCATTCGTGGATAACAATTTGCTTAAATATCAGCAAGGCGCTATATAACATCCACAGCTGCCACGTTATCCATAATGATGTTAAAGCTGACAACATCCTGGTGGATCTATATGGTTTCGATGTTTGTTTCATTGACTTCGGGATGTCCACATTCAGAAAAGGGCTGGAGTTTACTGCCAGTCCCGAATACATGTCTAAGTTTCAATTCATGGCTCCCGAAGTCCGTGAGAACTGCCACACGACTCCACAATCGGACGTCTTCAGCTTGGGTTTTTTATTTGGACAAATTATGGTCCAGGCTAAAGTCGTCCAATTAAGGCCCCTCTGGAGAACCTGCACCAGCGTCCGGGCTCTGTCCAGACCAAGATTACCACACATTATAGCTACCTTAGAAGAATTACAATCCAATTTGCAGCCTAAATTTATATTCTAGTTAAAATATTTGTAAATGTATGTAATTGAACATTGTCGCTAAACCGTGAAATGCAGAAATGGAATCCAAATTTCTGAGTTTATTAAGGCATTTTTATTATTATGTTTCGAAACTCTTAGTTAATGGTAAAAAATATATCAAATTTATTGTTCTGGGTAGTATACAAGTAAACTCTTATGACCAATTGCTATACATAATGAAAAGTGGCCTCTGGCTGTCTTATCTTTTTATGTTATAGACTTAAACATACATTATGCAAGAGCTAAATCTGCCTATTGCAGGTATTTCTTTAGGCCTGAAATCTTATCTAAATTATTAATTAGACATTAATTAACTTATCCAGACCATAATCAACTCTCGATGTCAAGGCTAGCCGTCGATATCGACTGGATTAGAATCCTATCTGCTGCAAACGCTCATTGATAATTAAATCAAAACTTTAGTAATGATGAACGAGGCCAGGCGGAAATTTAGAAAGCTGATATCTCGGTTCATAGTGGACCAGATTGATTGAAATTTTCAACAAATTACCTTTACATTATCTAGTTTTTACCTATTATAGCGAGAACTGTCAGCTCTTTATCTCATCTCCCATAATGTATCTTTAAGCTTTGTATTTTTAAATTTGTATATTGTCGTATCTGCAGTGACTTATTCAAATGGTCAATACTCAATGTTTTCGTCTGAATACTGGCTAGATCTACTTGGTTGATGCTCATTACTGGCTAGATCTACTTGGCTGATGGTAATTACTAATTACTGGCTAGATATACTTGGTTGATGGTAATTACTAATTACAAAACAAAATAAATGTGTTGTATACCTTGATTTATAGCTATGTCAGGATCAGTTATGGAATATATTGCGATGTGTTGTATACCTTGATTTATAGCTATGTCAGGATCAGTTATAGAATATATTGCGATATATGAAAGAAAATACGGGAACTCGACCAATTAATTTGTCGGGATATACCGTATTAACGTAGTTCAACACCTTTTCCGACATTAGTAAGTTATTCTAGATTATCTGAAAGTGGTGTTAAACTGTATAGTTTTGTATCTTTTATGTCAACATTTAAGTGAGATTAGCCGATAGATTGGCATCTATTATGTGCAATTTTTAAGTAAGATTGGCTGATAGTTTTGTATCCTTTTACAATTTAAGTCATGTAAGTCGATAGATTTGTTTTTAAGTCATGTTAGCCGATAGATTTAGTTGTGTATCTTTTGTACAATTTAAGTAAGGTTAGCCGATAGCTGTGCATCTTTTATACAATTTAAGTTGGGTTAGCCGATAGTTATATACCAATATACCAAGTCAGCCACGATAACAAAAATAGTTTCTTCATTTTTGTCCTGTCCATCCTTCAATGCATGGGTATCCACAGTGACTCAATGAGTACGATGTTGACTCGCTAACCTGGAGTGGTCCATGTTCCATCCCTGCGTTAGCCGAGAAAGTTTGGCTCAGTTGATACGACGTTGACTCGCTTACCCGGAGTGTTCCATGTTCAATCCCTGCGTTAGCCGAGAAAGTTTGGCTCAGTTGATACGACGTTGACTCGCTAACCTGGAGTGTTCCATGTTCAATCCCTGCGTTAGCCAAGAAAGTTTGGTTCAGTTGATACGACGTTGACTCGCTAACCTGGAGTGTTCCATGTTCGATCCCTGCGTTAGCCAAGAAAGTTTATCGAGATTTTCCAGCGTGGTTCAGGCGCGTCAGTGGTGTAGGACGGATGGCCTGGCAAGGGACAACGTATTGTTGTTCGGTTGGGGCGAAAGACTGAGATCCGGTGTGTACGTAAAAAAACACCGTTGGTAATATATATATATATATTGATGAAATTATTGTCCAACCCTAGTTAAACTAAAGTTATTCATTAATAAAGTAATGTTGGGTTATAAATTATTATATATGACCAATCTAATTTACACTGTTTTCAATAAAATACTAAGTTCTTTCTGAGACAATTATTAAAGAAATTGTGATAATCTAGGATGAAACGAAATGTTGGATTATTGCAGCAGTTTTAATGGTCAAAATATTATTGTCAATAAAATTGAAATTATTGTCTAGCTACAAAAAATCCTCGAGAACTAGAAAATTATAAACATCGTATTTATATTTTATATGCTTGAAAAGTAATTTATATAATATAACATATTCTGTTATAATTATTTTTTAAAAACAAGATAAAGCATTGGATAAGAAATATAACATAGAAATGGTGTAAATTTGGTTAATGTATTTAAATAATTATTATATTGTACTTATCAGAACTAACGGAAGATATATTCTACATGTGATATTTTATCTTTTACAAAATATTCTCCTGAGCCCTGTTTCTCAAAATCTACTAAAGATAAAATCCAATTTTAGTAGATACTTCAATTTGTATTGGCTAAGCCCTAAAATCAATCTAATATTATCCAATCAAATTACTTAAATTTGGATTTTATCTTAGACCTTTATTTCTATTTTGATATCATTTATTATTATGTATACAATATACCCTTGTTTATATACATGTATACCTAGTATTTATAATATCATTAAACACAATATCAATTGATTAAAACAGTCATCAATCAGCATTATTTCTTATTTTGTTTATTTAAAACTGTTCCAAGGGGCGCATGTAGGAATTATACTCTTATTTATACAATAATATATATATTAGTGGTATCGGGTTGTAGAATGAAATATAGAGAACTTCTACAACGTTTTAGTTTCGAATCCCCGGTTGTACGTGACAAGGAGTAGGGTCGCCTGTCCAACCTCGTGGGTTTTCTCCGGGTCCTCCGGTTTCCTCCCACTTGTAATGACCCCTACGCGCAAGCGAATTATTGAAATAAAATTAAAACCATATGTTAGTCCCGAAATGACCTAGTTTTGTGTCGATTGGACGTTAAACCCCACTTCTCTCTCTCTCTCTATACAGCGTTTATATTTTCTAGTCTCAATATCACTCTAGTTGAAAGCGGACGTAACCCCCCCCCCAATAGTCGTTAAATTGATATTTACAAAAACACAGAAAGAAGTCAACGGAAATTATAGAAAAATAAAACTTACTCAAAAGGTCTTTGAAATATACGAAGGTCAGGAGGTTCCGCCAAACGTGAAAGTAGACTGTTTACTTCTTAAAACAAGCCTTGATCCACGACACTGTAACAATGAATACAAATTGAAAATGACTGGCTTATATACACATAAGAAAGATTTAAAGGGACAATAACACTCTTGCTGGCTTGAAAGCTCCAGGAAATAAATAATATCTCTATCTAAGTACTAGATGTTTAAGTGTCCTACCTGTTGTGTAAATTATCCATTACATCCAGAGGGTTCGAAAATATTTTTAAATCGAAGTTTCATTTGAAAAGGTTTACGTTAGACGTTTCAAACCATTATGTTGAATTTTTCAAAATTTTTAAATAAGGTGTGTTAAGATGAAATTTGTATCATCAATTAATTGAAATATTCTAAAATAGTACAATTTGTTGACCAGAATAAAGATTGGGACATATTATTCAGTTACAACAAGAGTGGTATTGAGCCTTTAACAATTTGTTGATGTTAGAAGTCTAGCAAATAAAACTGTCAAATATTCAAATGCATGTCAGTTTACAACATTATAAACATGTTTTTTTAAAGATATGCTGATTAGCAAAACTTGTTTATATTATCCCACACCTTGTTCTTAAATAGGTATTATATATTAATACGTAATATTCAAGAAGCAAAGACTCATAGGTCAAAGTTCATGATATATCAATAATATTTCACAAGTAAATTTTAATAAGACAGAAACAAAAGAAGTATTCAAATTTATATCTAACCAGGGGACAATATTCTAAAACATAAAGCCACTGGTTGTCATTAGCATTTTTCGGTCTATATCAAATTTTCTACGCCTTAGTCCACGCTATAATTAACTCAAATTGATTTTTAACATTGAAAGAGATCGTAATCCACTTTATAATTAACTCAAATTGAGTTTTAACACTGAAGGAGATTCTAATCCACGCTATAATTAACTCAAATTTTCTACGCCTTAGTCCACGCTATAATTAACTCAAATTGATTTTTAACATTGAAAGAGATCGTAATCCACTTTATAATTAACTCAAATTGAGTTGTTTTAACACTGAAGGAGATTCTAATCCACGCTATAATTAACTCAAATTGATTATTTAAACATACATTTAGGCCTGAAATGTTATCTAAATTGTTAATTAGACATTACTTAACTTATCCAGACCATAATCAACTCTCGATGTCATCCTAGCCTGCGATATTTATTGGATTAGGATCCGATTTGCTGCTCAACTTTCATTCATGATTTAATCATGAAATGGATAACCGAGACTATGTTTTTTATCGTACCGACTTTAGTAATGATGATCGAGGCTAGGCGGAAAATTCAATCGCTAAAATTTGGGTTCAGAGTGGACCAATTTGACTGAAATTTTACAGCCAATTACCTTTTACATTATCTAGATTTTAACTATTATAGTGAGAACTGTCAGCTCTTTATTTAATTTCCATAATGTATCTTTAACATTTATGGAGTAAAATAATCCAAAATTCTACGGTAGATTATGATCTCATTAGTTTGTATGACAATTAGAGGAGAGAGAGAGAGAGAGAAATGGGGTTTAACGTCCACTCGACACAAACTAGGTCATTTCGGGACTAACACATGGTTCAATTTTATTTCAATAATTCGCTTGCGCGTAGGGGTCTTTAGCAGTGGGAGGAAACCGGAGGACCCGGAGAAAACCCACGAGTTTGTAAGACAATTAGGGAGTGAAGCAAAGAATAATTTATATATTTCAAATACACAAGGATATGATTTCAATATACTCATTTTAAATACACGATATGTCAGAGATCGTCATTAATAATAAAATGTCCCTCAAAGTCAACTGACTGGCGTGAAAAGGTAAACCCATCTTCACTAACTCGGATGTTGCACGTAGGCGTACGAACCCGATGAATGTTAGGGAGGCAGACCTGAAATGCCCGAAATGCCCGGCGGTGCCGGTGATCAGCTTACCGTGTAGCCAGAGGCCTCCCCAAGAAAGTTTGGACGGCCACAAACGCGTTTTCCTGCTATACCCCTCCCCGTTGCAACCGGACTCGTACGCCTATCTGTTTCCTGAATGATTCACCTGCGGCCTAATAAAAGGTGACATATTTATTGTTAAAATGTGTAACAAGAAAATTAAAACAATCTCGAAATTTGACATTTTATTATATTCACTGTATAATGTTTCAAATGTGTATATAAGGCCATCTTTTAAAACTTGTATTCAGTGAAGTTCTGCTCCAACAGCTTCCAGGATACAGTGGGTAAGCTGAAATTCAATTTGTAAAACTTTCAATACATGTAAACGAAGTTATGTCCAACCAAACGGTACAATTCAGAAAAAGTGAACATTGTCCTTATGCATTTTAGGTAATTGGGGTAGAATAAATCTACGTATATTATGGTCTGTGAGCCGCGTTAGTTCAAGCATGGACATATACGGTCCATGGTTCAATGAATAAGACACTGGCTCGCTCGCCCGGGGGTCTTGGATTCGCTCCATGTGTGGGCCGAGAAAGTTGCTCGGGATTTTCCGACATGGTTTCCGACGTTATTTTATGGTATAGCGTTATTTATTGTAGTAGGCCCACACATGGTTATTTGTTATAATACATAAATTTATTTGTTATAATACATAAAGTTATTTGTTATAATACATAACGTTATTTGTTATAGTACATGTTATTTGTTATAGTACATAACGTTCTCTGTTATAGTACATAGCGTTATTTGTTATAGTACATAGCGTTATTTGTTATAGTACGTAACGTTATTTGTTAAAGTACATAAGGACACAGATCACTAAAGATTTCCCCATTGACTCCAATGTTAATTCTCGTATCTTAGACCGGCTCTAACTTTTTCCCAAATTTTCGTTGGGTAGAACGCTTTCTACCACAGATGGAGCAACATGTGGCAACCACTTGCCCAAAAGCACGTATGAGGTTCTTCATGAAAAACTTGAGATACACAAGCTGGAAGTAGAGACAAGTAAACATGCAATTTCAGGCCCTATTATATACATTTCAACCTAACCAACCTCTCAACTCTTGTATCCTTCCGCATCAAAATTATGAATGTTCACCAAAACCTGGCAGAAAATGTATTTTCAAACCCTTTTCCTCGATTCTACACCAAAAAGTCAACAAAAATCGCCATGCAAAAGGGGGAAAAAGGAAAAGGGAGAGGAAGACTAAAAATAGCTTTGGCCCTTGTTTCATGTGTGACGGCGTAGGAATATTTGGTGATCTGTGTCCATAACGTTTGTTGTTATAGTACGTAATATAAAAAGCTATCGCACGAACTATCCCACCATTGTTAATGAGTGAACTAATAGAAGTAGCGTGAAAGAGACTAAATATGCTCTGGGACACCTTCAGGACTGACCGTAGGCACTATGGGATCCAATTGGGCACTCCCCCCACCTACCATTTACACCAGAGTAGATTACTCACAGCACAGAATAATTGGACACCGTCACCCGATGCCATTATTTCTCATTTGATGAGTTCAGACAGCTAACACACTATTGATGTACTTTTATATTCAGTTTAAATCTGGTTGGTGTCTATAGAATATAAAGATGAAGACGACGATGATCTTGTGTTTGATTGTGGCTATCTCTATGGTTACAGCAGCAGATGGTGAGTAATTAGACTTTATTATAATTCTTTGATAAATTCATATGTCGCAGTTATATGCGGCACCTAAAAAAATATTTGGACTGGTTGCTTTAAGTGTTTGGGATAGGGTGAGGAGAAATGATAACGCAAGATAGTTTTAAAAGTTTATAAAAATATCACATACATATAGAAAAAAATATAATTATAATCTTGCGAACACGGTTACAGTTTAAAGATGCAGCATCAAAGTATCAATAATAACATCACATAGAGAGAGAGAGAGAGAGAGGGTTTAACGTCCACTCGACACAAACTAGGTCATTTCGGGACTAACATATGGTTTAATTTTATTTACATAATTCGCTTGCGCGTAGGGGTTTTTAGCAGTTGGAGGAAACCGGGGGACCCGGAGAAAACCCACGAGGTTGGACAGGCGACCCTACTCCTTGTCACGTACAACCGGGGAATCGAAACCTCGCCAGTTGACTCAATGACAAACCGTATGATACAGCGCGCGCGTGCTAACCATTCGGCCATCCACCCCCCTATAACAAAAACACATTCCATACTAAACTGTAACGATACAATTCAATGTAACACAATTTGGAGCATATCGCAGTAAACCCAATGATTGACTTCCATCTTTGCATACAGTTTATTAATTATTTCATGAAATCATAATATAGAATCATTCATTCTACCCACACCTGAGTTCATACCTAGAACAAATAACATACCAAACATTCATGTATTTTAAAGTTATAATTTCATATTTTTAATTTATATTTTTAAATGTATTAAAATAAAGCCCTAATATAGATGGTATCTATAAACAGTCCTACTTTTTATAGAATAATCCTATTAATCCTATAATTCACTATTGCCAGTTGAGAAATTGGCAAAAATATAATTTTCAACTTCAAATTCAAACGTTTGAAGATAGCTATTCCATGGTGGGGAATAGGAAAACAAGGGAAGTAATTGGGAGGTAATTGTGTTATTATTTCCGGTGTGAAGATTTTTAAGTGTGAGAAAGATAACCTATGATCGTATAATAGTGAGTTGACAACCTATTGAGCAAAAGACATAGAAATAATTATGTTTTGACTTTCTATGAAAATATGAAATTGTAACTTTAAAGATAAATGTAATAATGTAAATGTATCTTATCAGTTTATGGAAATGAGCTGTATGAAGTAAAGGAACGAGCAAGTTATCTTACCAGCATATACCTGAAGCAATGGCCCGAGAAATCCCTCTCCGCTCATTGCTGGATTGGCTTCTGATACTTGAGCTTTTGAGGGAGTGTGTCTATTCTTCCCGTTCAATCAAATCTATCCCAAGTACAGCAACACTGAGAGCCCTTCGTTTAATCTGTGGTCTTGTCTAAAACTTTGGACAGTGATTTAAGGTATTAAAGTAGCTAAGTCTCTAACTCAATATCATCAAAAATCTTCGACATTGAAAACACGATTTATTTGTCGCTTTAAATCAGCATTGCTGTTGTGATCTTACCGGGAAAAGATAACCTTCTGATGTCCAAAATTTAAGACAAAATAAACATTTTACAATTGGTACACGAATCGTGTACCATAATGCGTTTCAGCGCTATTTGTAATAAGGGACTCGAAATACGAGGCTAGGCATATTCCACAGGTCATGTCAACCGGTGACGCTATATTCTTATCTGGACAGCATGCCCAAAAAATACTAACGGCGTAGACTGGAAAAACCAGACGCTAGAGATTGAAATTCGATTGAGAATACTGGCGTATTTCGCCGAACCTAACTGATTAGAAATTGGAGTAAAAACAGAAACGATTGAATGTAAATCAATTTATATACATTCATATTACATTATTGTATTCGTTGCGACCCATTTGTGTCAATTTCTGGGTCCCAAATATTAGCGACTTAGCTCCTTTAAAAACTGTGAAAATCTTGTTCGTTTCCATACATTATTGTTTACATTGTATCAGAGTTGATAGCCTCGTTTGTCACGCAATTGGTTTTTCTGCAATATTCTGCTATGCACTGATTAATTGAGCATAATAAAAACGTGAGTCATGACGTAACTTTATGTAAACATTTTTGATCCAATGTAGAGCTATGTTTAAAGCGTAATCATATTGTTACGCAGTTAGTTATTGGTTGTTAATCGGACTATTGACCAGTCATAATTTGGAAAAGAAATTGGCTTCCATTAAAGCAGTGTTTAGTGGGATTAGCTCTAATCAAAAGAAACACTGTGGGAAGTATGTCCAACCAGAAAAAACGAAAATTGGGAGAAAATACTGATTCATATCTTTTAATAAAATGCGCTGGCCAAATAAGCCAATCAGAATACAACCAAATAATATCACCTGATAAACAACCGCAAAGTGAAATGTACAACAAAACCTTCCAGAACAAAAGTAACTCCTCAATATTTTCAACTAAGGAACCTAAGAATAAATTCCACTAAATATAAGAATCAAATCCTAATTCCTACAAAACAAAGACCGAAACTTGAACAGTATAACTAGAATAGAAACATATATGCATCACAACCCACTTTTGTAATTATAAGAAATCAAAACGCGAAATCCCATTAAACAGGCATTATGCAAGAGCAAAATCTGCTTATTACAAGTCTTTCTTTAGGCCTGAAATGTTATCTAAATTATCAATTAGACATTAATTAACTTATCCAGACCATAATAAACTCTCGATGTCAAGGCTAGCCTTCGATGTTGGCTGGATTAGATTCCTACATGCCGCTTAACGGCCATTAATAATTAAATCAAAACAGTGGATAATCGAGACTATGATGTTTATATTAATGATTTTAGTAATGATGACCGAGACTATGCGAAAATTTCACCCGCTTCGTTCTCGGCTCATAGTGGATCAATTTGACTGAAATTTTCAGCAAATTACCTTTACATTATCTAGTTTTTAGCGAGAACTGCCATCTCTTTATCTTATCTCCCATATTGTATCTTTAATTAAATATCACGACCAAATAATTAAATGGACAAACTGAAAAGTAGCAAATTATACCCGTTACACATAGAATTGACCAGGCGTACAAATTCCTCACAAAATAACCGAAATATTTTAATAAATTTAGCTGTTTATTCCCAAATGAAAACTCGATATTTGAAACATAATTGTACGGAAATTCAAACTACTTCGTTATCATTTTTATTTATGTCAAATATTTATTTATATCAACTCAACTCAAATAAATATTTACAAAAACTCAACTCAAATATTTATTGATAAAAACTCAACTGAAATATATATAATTTATAAAAACTCAACTCAACTCAAATATATATATTTATAAAAACTCAACTCAACTCAAATATATTTATAAAAACTCAACTCAATTCAAATATTTATTGATAAAAACTCAACTCAAATATATATTTATAAAAACTCAAATCAACTCAAATATATATTTATAAAAATTCAACTTGTTATTTTTACAGATTACCGTGGTCAAGATAATCCTGACTGTTACCTGCCTGAGGTACCTGATTACGGTACTAAATATCATGTTACCACCTACCAACCAACAAAATCAAAGCACGCCAAAGTAATTAGACCCTGTCCATTGTATAAATATGGATTTTATGAAGATCCAAACGACTGTGGTGCCTTCTTTCAATGTTCACCAGCAGGGTTGGTTCGTACCAGATGTGCGAAAGGAACACTTTACGACAGAAATATCCAGAGATGTAACCACAAGGGATTTGTCACTTGTTACAGCGGTGTCAGTTGTCCTCACCCGTTTGGTCTTTTCCGTGATCCCAGATTCTGTAACAAGTTCCTGAATTGTTTCAAGAATATCCCCTACGTTCAAGCTTGTCCAGCTGGTCTGGTGTTTAATGCTATTGCTCCTGGAAAAGGTTTCTGTGATTACCCTAAAAATGTCAATTGTGAAGATAACAAGATCGCTGTAATCGAAATCCACAAACCAGTCATCGTTAAACACCCAGTCTACACCCCAGTTGTTAAACAGAAAATCGATAACCGGCCAGTTTTGGAACACCAAGTCGTTGTTAAACAGCAAGTCGATAACCGACCAGTTGTCGAACACCCAGGCTACATCCCAGTTGTTAAACAGCAAGTCGATAACCGACCAGTTGTCGAAGACTCAGTCGTTGAGAACCCAGTCGTCACAACAGGCAACACCCCAGTTGCTACACACCCAGTCTACACCCCAGTTGTTACACACCCAGTCTACATCCCAGTAGTTAAACAGGAAGTCGACAGCCGGCCAGTCGTTGCGCACCCAGTCGCCACAACAGGCTACATCCCGGTTGTTAAACAGCCAGTCAACACTCTAGTTGTTAAACAGCCAGTCAACACCCTAGTTGTTAAACAGCCAGTCGTTGAGCATCCAGTCGTCACAACAGTCAACACCCCAGTGGTTAAACAGCCAGTCAATACTCTAGTTGTTAAACAGCCAGTCGTTGAGCAAACAGTCGTCACAACAGTCAACACCCCAGTAGTAAAACAGCCAGTCAACACTCTAGTTGTTAAACAGCCAGTCGTTGAGCAACCAGTCGTCACAACAGTCAACACCCCAGTAGTAAAACAGCCAGTCAACACTCTAGTTGTTAAACAGCCAGTCGTTGAGCACCCAGTCGTCACAACAGTCAACACCCCAGTAGTTAAACAGCCAGTCAACACTCTAGTTGTTAAACAGCCAGTCGTTGAGCAACCAGTCGTCACAACAGTCAACACCCCAGTAGTTAAACAGCCAGTCAACACTCTAGTTGTTAAACAGCCAGTCGTTGAGCAACCAGTCGTCACAACAGTCAACACCCCAGTTGTTAAACAGCCAGTCAACACCCCAGTCCCAGGGGACATCGATAATGACGATGTTGATGATGATGATGATGATGATGATAAAATGCTAATCTAAAATATATATATTTATTAAATATTTCTTTTCAAAATATGTCGTTTATTGTTTATACGAAATGAGAAGTTATATCAGGTGTTTTAAAAGAAATTTACATATCCTGCATCGTACATGACACCCTTCTCTACTAGAGTTTTAACCTGTTCATGGGTGGCTCGCACTGACTTGTTAACCTGGAGGTCACATGTTTGATCCGGATGTTGGTCGGCGTAGTTCCTATTTGTCAGTGATACCGGGGGCCCCTATCTCGTGTACACATTGACGTGCACGTAAAAGAACCAATGACAGTTAGAAACCAATTGCTGTCCGGGCAGAATTCCCGTCATAGCACACTGTATGATTTATGTCCGCTTTATTAGACAGGTATGTGTAGAACGTTAAGCTCAATTTCATCTAGTCAACGAGCGCTTCTGGTTTGGATTGAGTGCAAACCTGTCTCTTTAAAAAGTCAAGTATGTTACAATATAGACCTGGTTGGGAAAATAACTGGCGTAGTGACTGGCGACGGTAATACTTCGATCTAATGCGCTTGATTTGATTGCATTCAGGCAAAATGTGCTTAACTGTCAAAGAAACATAACAGTGTTCACATTCTGGTTGAGGCTCTCTCTTCAATGTGTGACCTATCCAAGAGCGACACAAAACAGGGAGGGAGAGAGAGAGAGAGAGATTAACGTCCACTCGACACAAACTAGGTCATTTCGGGAATAACATATAGTTCAATTTTATTACAATAATTCGCTTGCGCGCAGCGGTCTTTAGCAATGGGAGGAAACCGGAGGATCCGGAGAAAACCCACGAGGTTGGACAGGCGACCATACTCCTTGCCACTCACAACCGGGAAATCGATAACCAGGCCAGTTGACTCAATGACAGATCTAATGATACAGTGCGCACACGCTAACCATTCGGCCATCCAACCCCCCGATGTGACACAAAACAATCTCATCAGTCCTGTCGGGCCTATATGAGGTTATCCAGTCTCCCATAAGAGGCTTATTAATGTGATTGAGTTTATTTGTGCCTGCAATGTCACAAGATCGTTGCCAGAGGCCATAAATAAATGAATTTATAGAACATTTAGAATCTGTGTATGATAAATAAAATTGAGATGTGGGGACATTTAAAGCAGGTTAGGCAGTCAAAGGGAGATAACGAATCTAATAGTTTGGGAAGTTTAGACTAATTTAGAAACGACTAATAATGTTGTAAAACTAACAGTCGTTGATCCAGTAACATAAGACTTTCATCTTTTTTAGTGTTTTAATGCGGGGGGTAAATGATAACTTTTTATTTATCAAATATCTACCCCAGAAATTTGGCTTCAATCACAACTGGAAGGCCATAATTGTCAACGAGGAAAAGTTCTGGATCTGGATGTAAACCTTGCTTCTGACAGAAATGCTTGCGGACAGTCTTTGATTTGGTAAAAACGAAATCTATGTTCGGTTGCCCATTGTTGAAGTGAATTCAAATAAAGCTGCAACTTACGTTCGATTATCCGTATACATGTCGAATCATAACACATATGAATGTCATCAACATAAAGAGCGCCATTACCGGGTCCAAGGCACGCTGTGAAAATTGCAGGAAATGGGTCGGAAAATATTGAAATGAAGACAGGCAAGCGACCTCTCCATCACTTTGCAAATGCAGCTAGTTAAAGCGATCGGACGTATGTAACGGATATGGTTTGAAACCTTGTTCTTTGCCAGGCCCTCTGTCCTGCACCACTGATAAGAAGAAACCACGCAGGAAAATCCCCATGAACTCGTCGGCTAACGCTAGGATCGGACAAGAGATACCGTGCTTTCTCCAACGTAAACGTTTGAACCAGGTGTCCTAACCAGATCAGATTTAACAAACAACAAAACAAAATGATTAAAGAAATTCAACCAAAATTTATTTAACACAAATTTATTTTTAAATAAAGTTTTACAAAAATGATTGAAATCAAGGATAATTCGATGTCATAGTTCTGAAAGGTGTAAAGTCTAACAGTATGTCGGATTTAGGTTTTACGATATGAGAGAAAAACCTAATCCAATCTTAATAACCCAGTTAGGATATCAACATTTTTAAAAGCTGTTTTATGTGGAAGTTACGATCTTACACTTCTGAAATTTGCATAGAGAAGCCCCCCAATGTGATTAGTGATCCTCAAGCTATTTGGGTCATAAGTGGCACTTACAACCTTTCAGAACTAGGGCATCGAATTATACATATATATTTAATGTAAGCAAACATAGACCAGGATAATTATTATACATTTATATAATGTTAACAAACATAGACCAGGATAATTATACATTTATATAATGTTAACAAATATAGATCAGGATAATTATAAATTAATGTCCAGAACTAGAGAAGAAAGAAAATCCTATAAAATATTCAAATAAATAGACATAAATGTTAGACATTGACAAACAATTCAATTCCTTAATAAATTAAAAATATTAGTAAATGAAATTATTTGGATTCATCGCTGTCGTAATTAGAGCGAGTGTAGACTGTCTCCTTAACAACTGGGGTGTAGACTGTCTCCTTAACAACCGGGGTGTAGACGGGGTGCTCAACTTGCTTGCTTCGTCTGTATTCAGCATAGTCACGTGAATTATCTATAGGGTTATAATTCTTAGGTTCCTTGTGAACTTTGGTATGGACTGGTCGTTCAACTGGGGTGTAGACTGGGTGCTCAACTGGGATGTAACCTGGGTGTTTAATGACTGGTTTGTGGACTTTGATTACAGCGATCTCTTTACCTCCACAATAGACATATTTAGGGTAATCACAGAAACCTTTACCAGGAGCAATAGCATTAAACACCAGACCAGCTGGACAAGCTTGAACGTAGGGGATATTCTTGAAACAATTCAGGAACTTGTTACAGAATCTGGGATCAGGGAAGAGGCCATATTGATGTGGACAACTGACGCCGCTGTAACATGAGACAAATTCCTTGGTGTTACATCTTTTAATATTTCTGTCAAAAAGGGTTCCTTTAGCGCACTTGATACGAACCAAACCTGCTGGCGAACATTGGAAGAAAGCACCACAGTCGTTGGGATCTTCGAATAATCCATAATCCAGACAGGGCTTGATTACCACGTGTTTGGATTTCTGTATTGGTTCATGTTGATAAAAATTGGGATTATCTTGACCATAGTAATCTGTAAAACAAGAAATAAACTGGAATGAAGGTTTATCGTTCTGCTGTTCTGAACAAACCAGGTAAGAATTTACTCAACTTTCACACTCTGTTTATGAGAAATATCTTTGATCCAGAAACACATTACTTTGCACATAGTTTCTTATTGATGCATTTGATACATTAAAACAACAAAAGTTCTATAAAGGGCTATATTATTTTAGTTAAAATAAGCCGAACAGTTTTGAGAAAATTCGTGAAGTCGGGGCCTGGATAATAAAGAGGGAAATACGCCATGCAGTGGCTATGAACGGGTACTTTGTCCGGACAGCTATACGACCTACTCTTATTTTAAATTCTAACTGGCAAGAGTTATTTTACGTTCACACTAACGTGACAAGGAGTAGGGTCGCCTGTCCAACCTCGTGGGTTTTCTCCGGGTCCTCCGGTTTCCTCCCACTGCTTAAGACCCCTACGCGCAAGCGAATTATTGAAATAAAATTAAACCATATGTTAGTCCCAAAATGACCTAGTTTGTGTCGAGTGGACGTTAAACCCCATCTCTCTCTCTCTCTCTCTCTCTCTCTCTCTCTCTCATTCTCTCTCTCTCTCGTTCACACTAACGTGTACACTGGATCTCGTTTTTTCCGTCCCATCCGAGTGACGATATTCGTCGCCAGACTCTTAGCGACAATATTCGAGGCTCCCGTTAGAATAAGAGATCGGTGTTAGTTTGTGCGATATATGACTTCTATTCACGACCATATTTTAGAATGTCCCAGATCCATGTTCTCACTGTGCTGTGTGTCTGACAAAGAAGGAGTGTCTAGTTCTTTGTATAGAGCCTTAAACATAACATTAAACTGTAAACATGGGAATTAAAGTATGATATTTTGTACGGGTGGGGAATCATTTGGTAAGTGTCGAGGTGAATACATTATGCTTTATCCATATTACTCTCATATATTCGTATATCGCCCACGTTCTGGTTGATGTGAGGGCTTAGCCAATGAAACTGTCTGGCGTTCAGTGCGGGGAACTTTGGGTGTCCCAAACGCTTATTGGTTAATAAAATGTCTGACGTCATGGGGTCAAGAGTCCATCGCATGACCCCTGACGTGACCTCCAACTACAACTGATCTGATCTTCATGTAGTGGAGGCCATCGAAAGTATAAAAAACTAAACGAAATATAGTTCTGTATTATAATCAGATTGATATTGGCAGAGATAATAAATCGGCGCTTGGTGTGATTTTCCTTAAAAAAAATATCATATTATATCATGATTAATTTTATTTACTCACCATCTGCCATAACCATGGAGATGGCTACGAACAAACACAATATCATCATCGTCTTCATCTTTTATAAGTTCTAAGGATGCCAACCGTGTTTTAACTGAGAAAATAAAACAGAATCGTTTTAATTCAAATGTAGGTGTACAATGCATAAGCCACGCATAAAAACAACTTTCGAAAATGCATAAAGAAGCCAAACGATATCTACCCCAAACGGTACAAAATATAGTAAATTAATTCAATAGTTTCACACAAGCTTAGTGGGACGTTAAACCCCATTTCATTTCATTTCAGACAAGCTTGTCATCAGGACAGACCCTTCCGAATATAAACAAAATAAAATTCCATACTGTGTAGGTTAGTGACATATTTCTCCAAACTCAAAATGGATGGAATTGAAACATTTTATCAACAAAATAGTTCATTCGTTTTGATTTAAACATAATGACATAAAACTTACCCAATGGTCTTCGAAATAAACAAAGTTGTACTAAGGTTCAGGCAAAGTCAAAGCACTGTAACAATGAATACAAAATGAAAATGACTGGCTTATATACACATAAGAAAGATTTAACAATTTGTTGATGGTAGAACTTTAGTAAATAAAACTGTCAAATATGTAAATGCATGTCCGTTTACAATATTATAAAAATGATTTTTAAAGATATCCTGATTAATAAAATCTGACAAGTGATATAAACGCGTGTTTATATTATCCCACACCTTGTTCTAAAATAGGTATTATCAGGAAGCCAAGACTCATAGGTCAAAGTTCATGGTATATCAGTATTTCACAAGAACAATTAAATAAGATAGAAATAGACACCGGTATCTAGACACCGCATTAACTATTCTATATAGAGACTTATAATATACAATATACACACAGGGGATAAGTGGGTAAGACGCTGGCTCGCTAGCCTGGAGGTTGGGTGTTCGATCCCTGCATTGGCGGAGAAAGTTCACCCAGATTTTCCGGCGTGGTTCCCCCTTGTCAGTGATACAGGACGGAGGGCCTGACAAGGACAGCTGTCTAGTCGTTCGGGTGGACGAAAAATCGAGGTCCCGTGTACACAGTAGGAATTCGATATAAGAGTAGACCGTAGTGCCGCTGTCGAAGCAGAACAGTAGGACGTTAAGCCCCATTTCATTTCCTCACACACACACACAAAAAAGACAGAAAGAAAGAATTAATTTTAATGTTTGGCGCTTATCACGAAGATATTTATGTGAAGACAAATATGGCGTTAAGTTGTTTATTTTTTTAAATGAAGAAAGAATAATTGATATATTTCGACATACACCAGGATATGATTCATATATACCCAGGTTACATACACGATATCTAATAACTTAAAATACCCTTCCTCATGCAAGTGAGTTCAACAAAATTATATACGACACTTGCAACAGTGGGCGGAAACCGGAGGACCCGGAGAAAACACAAACACATGAGGTTGTACATGGCCCTACTCCTTGTCACGTATCGAAACTACGCTTTTGAATCCTGAATTACTTACAGGTCCTCTCTCTCTCTCTCTCTCTCTCTCTCTCTCTCTCTCTGAAACAAACTATTGAATCCGCATTTCTTACGACCCCCTCTAGTGACGGACGCGTGTAGACGTTGACGTGCATGTTATAGAACTCTTGATAGTTGGAATTTGAAATACCAGAATGCTGTAGCGGCATACAGGGCCCCCACATTGCGGGTGGGTGGGGGGGCATATGCCCGGAGACGACACTTATCTAAGTGCATACCAGAAATATTAATTTTGTAAGAATATTCCTAATAAAAAAACTGTATTTTAAAATTATTGTAATCATAAAAAAATCAACTAAGCGCAGGCATTGAACAAGGCACTGAATACTGCCCTGGAGCGCTACATATAGGCTTGTGTGAGCCCTGGTGGCTTCGTCTGGACAAAATGCCCTGACTTTCGCCATTGTCCCAATGGATGTTATGTGTGTGTGTGTTGGGGGGGGGGGGGGGCGGGGTCAGAGCTGAAATGCCCCCGAACAAAATTCTGTTTATACCCGGTTGCGCCGGTTTTCAGCTTACCGTGTAGGGGCCTCCTCAAGAAAGTTTGGAAAACTTAACGGCCGCAAACGCGTTTTCCGACTTCAGTGTGGTCCAATACTTCCTAACTTAGGTGCCTGATCTGAATTTAAACAACCAATCAATCGTTTAATCCACGGAGCCGCGTTGCAGTTTTGTGGATTTCGCCCTCCCCCAGACAGATGCCCTTTTCTGCTATTCTAGCTCGTGAGTCAAGCAACTTCAAAGTTGTCAAATGGTTTCGCAACCAAAATCCCACTCAATGCCAACCTGAATTTCAATCATCCAATCAGACTGTTGGAGCTGCATTCACAAATAATAATCAATGCCCGAAAAATGTCGCACAAAGCAGTGTGGCCCCAGACAAAATGTTTTAATCCATAGTCAATTCAGTACAAATTCGCGGAATTCAATTAAAAGAAAAGTAAACTTTGTGTTTGATTAGATTTCAGGCACTTTATTTTGCCAACTAAATTATATCATAAATCCTCCCCCACCCCCAATCCCACCCCCACTTTACCCGCCTGCCCGAAAATTCAGATTGTTTAAAGCTTAGGTACCCCCCTCCCCTCCCGCCCGACCTGACTCGTTCGCCTATGATGATGCAGCAAAGTTGGACGTTAAACAACAATTCATTTTATTTCCTGAACGAATTCACCTATACGGCCTAATGGAAGATGACATATTGTTTGTTAAAATTTGTAACATAAGGAAATTAAAACAATTTCGAAATTTGACATTCCTATTTTTAATCCATCATTTTAATCTATCCACTGACGTTTCAAATGTGTATATAAGGCCATCTTTTAAAATTTATATTCAGTGTATTTGATCCGTTCTTGAAGACGTATACATTCTGCTCAAACAACTTCCAGGATACAGTGGGTAAGTTAAAACTTCATATTTAAAACTTTCAATACATGTAAACGAGAAAGTGAACATCGTCCTTATGCGTTTTAGGTCATTGGGGTAGGCATTACAAAGTCTACATATATGTCTGGGAGTCGCGGTGGCTTAGTAAATAAGACGCTGGCTCGCTAGACTGTGGGTTCGCTCACGTGCAGGCTGAGGAAGTTCCGTGGGATTTTCCGACGTTGGTTCCTCTTTTTTTAGTTGTGCAGGACAGATGGGACGAAAAACCAAGGTCCCGTGTACACATTGGCGTACACGTAAAGGATCCCTTGACAGTTGAAATTCGATATAATAGTTGACTGCTCTCCGGGCAAAATTTCCATCATAGCACACTGTATGGCGGATGCCGGTCTTCATTATCCCGGTCGGTACAGAAAAGTAGGACGTTAAACCCCATTTTATCACGTTTATGGTCTGTGTCATTTCGGTTCTGAAGTGACCTAGTTTGTGTCAACTCTCAGGATATTAGATAATGGGCTAGATGCATAAAGTTTACGTATCTATATATTATCAAAAAATCGACAAATCGTAGCCGAATGATTAGCTGTGTTTCTGTATTTACCCACAGTATGGCCTGTGTTATGCAGACAATGGTCCTACATGCTCATCCTACACTTTTTAAGGTTCGACTTCAGAAATGTATTCTCTCTCGATACTTCTTTAGTTTGTTTTATTGGTCTTTTGTACGATGTGACATTTAAAAAAAAAATTGACTTTCAACTTTACGATCTTGAGGTATAAAAGCACACTTTTAATTTGTTATAGTATGTAATAGTATGTGTTATTTGTTATAGTACATAGCGTTATTTGTTATAGTACATAACGTTATTTGTTATAGTAATAACGTTATTTGTTGCAGTACGATACCAATATTCCTCATTAAATTTTGATGAGTTCAGATAGCTAACACACTATTGATGTACTTTTATATTCAGTTTAAATCTGGTTGGTGTCGATAGAATATAAAGATGAAGACGACGATGATCTTGTGTTTAATTGTGGCCATCTCTATGGTTACAGCAGATGGTGAGTAATTAGGTTTTATATTTATAAAAACTCCACTCAAATCTATATTTAAAAAACCTCAACTGAAATATATATATATACTATTCAAAAAAAGTAGGGGATATTTGATTTTGGGGGCATAATACTAAAATATGCAAATGACTACGAAAAAAGTCACTATAGAACCTAACAGAAGAAACATTTCCAGTTACATGTGACGCCCAAACGCACCAATAGCTACCGCATGGAATGCAGGTGATGCTTGGGATCATCATGGGGGTCCAACCCAAGATTTGCACGACTCTGACTTTGAATGTTACAGTCATTGTGGCATTGAATTCCAGGGTGGAAACATCAGTTTAATTGTTTTAGTGACCAGAAAACAAATTTTGATATGCGTCAGCTTACCCAAAATGAAAGGTTACGTGCCCTTGGCATGCTACAGATCGGCACAACACAGGCGGTTGTGGCGCGGACGATGAATGTTTCTCAGTCTGTCATAAGCAGGCTATGGTCCAGATACCGTGATACACAATCTGTACAGGACAGACCACGCTCAGGTCGACCAAGGGCGACAACTCAAGCCCAAGATCGATTTATCCGTACCTTGGCCTTGAGAAATCGTGTCATCACAGCAAATCAGATCAGCGCTCGTCTTCAAACAGACACTGGTGTGAGAGTGAGTGGCCAGACGATTCGGAATCGACTGTATAGGGGTCACCTTCGCGCCCGACGTCCTCGCGTGATCCCTTGTTTGAGAGATCATCACATTCAGGCAAGACGTCGTTGGTGTAGGGATCATCAACACTGGGATAATCGACGCTGGAGCAATGTGATGTTTTCAGATGAGTCAAGGTTCACTGTTGATTTTTTGGACAGACGTAGGAGGGTGTGGCGTCGTCGAAACGAGCGCTTCCAAGACGTTAACGTCATCAGACATGATCGATTTGGGGGTGGTTCTGTTATGGTGTGGGGAGGCATCACTGTTGCTGGAAGAACGGCTTTACATGTTGTTGCAGGGCGTGTTACAGGCCAGTACTACCGGGTCAACATCTTGGCAGTCCATGTTGTGCCGTTCGCACGACGTCATGGCCGCCGTTTCATCTTCCAGGATGACAACGCAAGATGTCACAGGGCCAGGATCGTTACAGGTTACCTCCAACAACAGAACATCACCACATTACCTTGGCCAGCACTGAGTCCCGACCTCTCCCCCATCGAGCATGTCTGGGACATGCTTGGACAGAGGTTACGTCAACGTCAACAACGTCCTGCCAATGTCCAAGAACTTGCTGCTGCGTTGCAACAGGAATGGGACAATCTGGACCAAAATGACCTTAGACGTCTCATTAGGAGTATGCCACGTCGGATCAATGCTTGTTTGGCAAACAGAGGAGGATTTACCCGTTACTGACTTGGTTGTGATGCTGTGGTAACTTTGCTGTTTGACCCCGGGTATCATTTTACCCTTATAATGGTCAGTCTGTGCCTTACTTAGTCTAACGATCATTTGGAATAAATCGATGAATGTGAACTTCATTT